TTCCTACATTATTACTGCAGGAAATTATTTTAAAACTAGAAAATTTAAAGAAGTAGGTTTAAAGCTTTGAAGTTCTAGGGAGGCATCATTTGCATAAGCATTAAGTAGTCTATTATTATACCCTAGTACATTGCTGTCCCTGTGAAATTATTCGGCTGACACTGAGTAACCATAAAGCGTACTTAAGGTTGCAACATTTATGCAGCATTATACATATAACATTTTGTGGATAAAATATAAGTTTAAACTGTATCAGATTCAATATACCTGACCTTCACAAAGCTTTAATTTGCAGTTTGTGCTGCCAAGTTTATAAAATTATATATATATATACACACACACACACAAAATGACAGCACAATCCTAAATTAAGTTCTAAAAATACTGTAAACTCTATATAGCACCTGTCACATTGCTTGAGAACTAAATAAGACTCATTCAAATGTTCTTTCAGTCACACACAACTCATCAATACCAGAAGCTTGGTTTTGGGGTTCAGGTGAGTTTTTGTTCAGTTTTGCATGTTTTTTGCTGGGGAGCCTTAGGGGGTTTATTTGAGGTTTTTTTTGTTTGTTTGGTTTGTTTTTTTGTTTCTATTTACTTGTAGAAATAATTTTATAAAACTGGAGGAAAGCCTACCACTAAGTTCTCACCTTCAAACAAAAAATATTGACAGAGCCTCTATTTAAGCCGCATTTACTGCCTTTGAGATTAGATTTTAAAAGCAATATGAAATTCTTTACTTAAAAAATTCTTTACTTAAGATGACACAATTAACACTGAACTTTTCCAGGTTCAGGTTGGTCTGGTCAAGTATGTCTCCTAGATTCCAGATCCTACTACCTAGAGATTACCAATGCTTGTCTGCAAATGGCAGCCAAATTCGAATTAGTAATTCCTGATTGCCAAAATGAGTTGGAAGCAGCCAGTTAATATCACCACACCAAATATCGGTACGTTACAATAATATAGTCAGAAAGCACCCCATCACCATCTTGAAATCCTGAAGGATAATATATTTAAGTTTAACTGAACAAATACCTTATAATATTGTCTTTTTTTTCCCCTTACCAGAAGCTAAAAAATAAACCTATTCCAGAGCAATCAAGTGTTAAGATATTCTAACAACACAGGCTTTTTTGAGTGTTGAAGACTTACCCCACAGTTCATATACTAGAGGAAAAGAGAAGCTCTTGATGTTCTCTTTCGCTACTCTATTAGACCAGCAGGTTTCACTGTTTACAGAATCATTTCAGACAGACAAACAACAGCTACAGCAAAGTACATTCACCAGAGGAATAGGGAAATACTAATTCACAGCTCCTGCTGCTGAACATCTGTGGTTTTCTTTTAACTATTCTGGATGCAAGCAAGCTAAAAAATGAACAATCTGCCATAGACTGACTAGAGCAGACAGGTTTGGGAATGATGCCTCAGCTACCAATAAGGAATGGGGAAGTCATCATCTGTCCTCTCTTCCTACTCCTCCCTGAAGAACTGGAATATTCTGCCAACTCAGTCAGTCAAAAATAAGCAGTGGTAAGACTGAAGGAAAGGAAGACTTGAACGAAAACGGAGGCTGTAAACAGCAAAGAGATCAGAGATTCATCGAGACTGCTTACTCACCCCCAAACTTTATCAGGGTTATACACAACCACCTATTTTACTGAGCCTGCTTTGCCTACTTGCAAGAGAAAACAGACAATTGGCAAGTCATTATCTTTATAGGTGATGAAGAAAGTACCTTAAAGGCAATTCAGAGGTAATAAAGTATATTCTAGTACACTAAAAGTAACATGCTAATTGCAAACACCAGTGACAGGAGGACACCTTGATTTTGATCTCTCTTCATTCATAGACAATAGAACTTGTGTTTGTACATCAAATTTACTTTTCTGGAAAAACAAAACAAACCCCTGTATCCCAGTAAATAAACTGCATGATATGAAGCCTGTATCCTTCTGCCCTGTACAGCTACGTTTTAAAATATGTATCTTACTCAACTATGTTATGTGAATTAAGAAGAATTTTGCTATTTTGATACTCAAAAGAAAAATCACCTTCACAGTTCAGGCACCTTTGAGTTACTACTCTTAATATTTATTCAGAGGCAATATTACAAAGAAACACACAACTAGCTGACATCAAAACCAGCAACACCTTAAAGTTTCAAAAGGCAGTTCTGTACAAGTAATGCAATTCAGAAAAAGTGTCATTAAGTAGCTTATAGCAAGCTTCTGTGTCTAGAATAAATTAAATACCAAACAGTGCCTGAAGAAAGACTGCCTTACAAAGAGGCACAGAAGAAAAACGCAGTTTCTAATGTTAATATTTAACTAGAATTTTTTAATTTAACCACTTCTGTGCATATTTCAGAGATCTGCAAGTGCTACAAACTGTGAAGTATACATATGTCAATTCTTACATGCATCTTTCAAACATGAATGAGATTTACTAAGCACACAACTGTGATTGTGATCCTCAGCTTAGTTTAACCACTAGTAGTACTCAAAGTGCAAACCCACTCTAAAAGCTGTGAAGAAGAACAAAAGTTATTTTAAACTGAAGAATAAGTCAGCAAGAATTATCTTACTAAGCTCAGATTAGAAAGTGAAATCTTACCAGAACTAACTACAACTCATGGGCACTTTACTCATTTAGATAACCAAGCCTAAGCCCTGTATTACTTCTAAAAGCATCCTTCGAAAACTTCCATCTTATGCCCATCTCTTCAACACACCCACACACTTAGGTCTGATCTACTCAAAGATGCTGCATACCAAAGCTATTTTATACTTTGGATTAGTATAAAATAAGAAGAAATGAGAAGGGAGGATATAACTAATCAGAACAACACAATATGCATAATGGAAGTAGACCATGGATTTTTACATTGTTTCCATTGCTTTCAGTGAAATAGTAAACAAATATTAGGTTTGTCTTTTTGACTGTATAACCAAGCATGAATCCCTAAAAATTTTCAAAACCAACCTCGAATTCTACTACAATACAGGAATAACAGGCCCATTCAGAACATATGATTTTATATGCAACACTATGATTGTCCTCTCTCCCTTCCTTCTTTGCACTTCTACTTGCCACTTTAATTTATGTAAGTGAGACTAGATGGTACTAAGTTTGCCACTAAAAATTTTTTTCAAATCAATCTAGAAATTCACCTCTGGGTTACAGCTTGAGAGCCTACTGACCTTTTCCAAATTGCTGTAAAACTCACTGCAATCCAACTCTCCCCTCTTAGTGGGCTAAGAGGGTTAATAACCTCAGGCACATGGTCTGTTGTAGGCACATGACCAAAGATCATGAAACCACCCTTTCAGATGCAGGACCGAATTTCCACACCAAATCTTGAATAATTTACTGGGTCACTGCATCCAGGTCATCCAGCTTTTTAACCACTCACTAACCTATTTTTTGTTTACAGCTTCCTGTGCATAAAAAAGCCTCAGCTGGAAGCAGAAGCCCCACAAGTGAGCTCACACTGAAGTGAACTGAACTGAACTTCAAAGCAAGCTCTGACCAGAGAGGAGAACCCTCTCACATCATTCTATAGGGAGAAACAGGGGTAACAGAAAAAGGGAACCCAACAGTAGCTGGGAGTACAAACCTAACAGCTGATCAGTTAAGAAACGACAAACAGATCTTGCTTCCAATATGGAAATTTGAGATTTCAAAGCACAGGTAAGAACAAGAGGTAAGTGATCATTATGCCACTGTTCCCCCATTCTATTCTCATACAAGAAAAACCTATTTCTTTGTTTAAGCATAAGCTCACTCACGTTTTTCAGCATCCCAAAACCCAGAAAATTTTATTTCAAGACCATTACAGTCATCACAATCAACTTAAATTTTCTCCATATCCCTCTTGACATTTGAGAAGGATTTTTATACTCATTAAGAAGTTAAACTAAATACTCAGAGCCATGCACAGATTGAACTTTGACTCCATTTTCATGTTTAAAGTCATAGGATACTGTTTCACAGAGCACCTGAAAACGTGCAATTTGTTTAAAGACTCATTTACTTTGAAACTTAGAGAAGCATCTTTTGACATAGTATTAGAATAATAAAAATAAATATCACTTTCAGTGAGCTGAAGCAAAAAAAAACCCCACTTTACCTCCGCCACAATGTAACCTGTCTGTTTCCCTTCTTGTGTTTTAAGTTACTATTTCATCTTCTTTTAAACTCTAAAGGGTTATTTTTGGCAATTACTTCCCTAACTCACCACATTAAAATTTGCAAAGTTGACAAGATACCGAGTTATCTTAGGGGAGGTAGCACCTTTTTTGTTTCAGTTTGTAAGGTTGTTCTACTACAAGTCAGATCTTTGAAAAATCAGTAACATTTGAAATTCTGGTACACATGCTGTTAAAAGTCCTTTCCTTCCCCCAGCTTTATTTCATGAAAATCCTTTTTTACCCTGCCTTTTTTCCAAACTGAAGTTGATGGTCATATAGAAAGTGGTCATTACAAGTCTTCAGAAGGATATTATGCATTTGCTAGAACAGAGAAGAATTATATCTCACTAACAGATATTCTGACTCTGCAAGGCTATTCATAGGCCATCCAATAAAAAGCGCTTACGATAAAACAAGGAAGAAGTAAATAGAAGTCTTCTAAACATAATTATGGTTATTAGTAATACAAAAAAAGTGCACATGAAACACATTCCTCCACTTTAATCTCTCAAAGAACAAACCACAATTTGTCTACTTAGTACTTGCATGAAGTTCTGTTCATCTGAGGATTATCTGCTTGTGGCAGATTGACACCAGGTGTCCACCAAAACTGCTCCATCACTCCCCACCACAACCAGATAGAGGAGAGGAAAAATAAAACAAAAGGCTCATGGCCTGAGATAAAGACAGGGAAAAAAATCACACACTGATGACCATTACAGGTGAAACCAATACCAAAACTCACTGTTTCAAGTTAAGAAACATGTTATACAACAAGTATATGAGGTTAGTCAGACTCACCTTCCCTCATTGATTGTTGCTTTATCCCCATGACAAGTGAAGTTCTCAATGTAACCCAGACTACAGTTGATTCGTGTCCAGTCAGGTTTGCACACAGCAAGGAAGTGAGGACGCAGTCTACCTATGGAGTACTTGGCAATGTCTGTCAACGACTGGCTAGCAGCTGCTCCAAAAATGAAGGTTCCAATGGCTTTGTAAATAGTGGCTATGTAGTTATTTCTGACAAATGAATTTGAGTGCAAATTATTGTAAAAAACTGAGAGGGTCTCTCCTAGGATTATCTGAAAGAGAAATAAGGACAACAAGTCAAAGACAATCACTTTATTACTCTATTTTTGTTAATACTCAGACAAGCAGTTTTAGAAATTAATTTCTTATAAACATTAATCTGCAAATTTAAATTTTCCAAGAGTCAGCTGTAACCATGTCCAAACTTTAAATACTTTCATGCAGAAAAAAATCACCCTTTTACCTAACCCTGCTTCATGTTGAACTTAATACTAATAATTTTCAGAATACTTATTAAAACAAAGCCTTCTCAAAATCACATTTACCCATACTACTTGGCATGACGCTAATTAGAGACATTTTTTCCAGTCTAACTTTCTTCTACATTGAGTCTTCTTCAACTCATCTTCTGCTGAGCAAAATTTTTTCTAAGTTTATTAGGTTTTTTGCAAAACCAGAAACTACTCTGAAGGGTCTAGACTTTATTTCCAGATGTAAAAGGTCAGGTGTTTTAACAAAGAAATTTCCTATTCCTTGGGAAAATTAAATCCTTTGGGGAGAAAAGAAAATTAATACAAGAAGAGGAAGACAGGATTAGTGAGGTTTTTCTAAGGGCTTTTCCCCCCTACATGTCCAAGGTACTTGCATCAAGTGTTGGCAAGAAAGATTTGATTCTGTTTTCCTGCAGAAAGTTTTTCCTTACATCAAGTACTAAACTTCACCCCAGGTAATTTGGATATTACCTCAGATGGTCTCGTTTTGTACAGAAAGGTTCAGCTCATACAGATGGTCAGATGCTTGAGGGACTCTATGTGTGTGTGTATATATATATATATAGTTATCTTTAACAATCATGTAAAAATTAAATTATGGCTCTGTCCATCACTTGAGGGTGCCAAGTCCTGGATCCCAGCAAAGTAGAGCTTTGGTGAATGTAGCAATTACTTTGACATGGACACCCAGGCACACAGTAGTTGTCAGAGGTTTTGCACATGAAGGCAAACAGAGAACACCATTAGATGGATGACACTGAAGCATTACACCCTCCATCCATACCAAAAGTCCATTCAGTCCAAAAGATGGACTTGAAGCAGAGAAACACCAGAACATGGACCACAGCTGAGAAAGCTTTCAGTAAAGTACATACAAATCTACCTAAATCCAGAAAGTAATCTCTTAAGGAAGATAGCTGAGCACTAATACCACATGACTGGTAAGTAATGAATCCCTTTCAAAGAGCATTGCCATAAAACCTGTCAGAAGGTCACTTACCTCAGTTAAGGTGACAACTCAGTCTCACTGAGCACTGAGTAAAGGACACCAACATTTGCTTTCACCATCTGACTATGAAGCAATCTTGACAGAAAAGCCTGATTTCACAACTAAAAGATGGTCCCTGATGTTGCAAACATATTTTTGTTAGCTAAATGTTCATACAGGCTCAAATGGAGATTGGATTACTTCAAAGAAAATACATCTATTAAAAATTAGTATATTCAGTGGAGCCTCTTCTGAGTCAGGAAGTCCCTGAGCTGCAAATGGCTGGTAGTCAAGTACTGAGGGCAAAACATCAATCTCTCCTTGCTCTATTCTGTTCTTCTTCACTCGTCTGTTTTAACTGCTCTAGAAATGAAATAACAAGATATACGGGCTTCAGTCGAGACTAAGTACTCATGCTCTTAGGTAATATTGACTATCAACAACAGTAACGGTGTGGAAAAAAAAAAAGGTCCTATCTTAAATGGCAGCATCTTTAGCATAAAATACTTGTCAGTTAATAGAACACACAAAACCCCTCAAAATTTCATCTGCTCCAGAACTATTTCTGTAAGTTTTTGAAGCAGTTTTTCTAGAACAGGGAAAGCAGGCAAGTTACAATTTCAATTCTCAGCCCATGTTTCTACAGTTACGAAAAAAATTCCACCCAAGAGCAAGCAAGCTGCAAGGTGACCTTTATGTTGGAACCTTGATAAAAATCCATGTAGTCCTTATACAAGACAGAGTTAGATTGCCACAATATCCCTCCTGATTGTAACCCACTAGCCCAGAGAAACAGTCGGTCAATACTGAGGTTTACATCTTGCTGCACCTTCTGTTTTGATTTCTAAAATGTACTTGGATAAATATTTATTCACCTAAAAATCTTATTTGGCATAAAAGAGTTTTATCTCTGCTCCAAGTGTGGCTCTGATAAGCTTGGATGTCACCCAACAGATTTATAAGGGAAGACTAAAGCTTTTTAGCACATCTGGACAAGGATCTTGAGGCCTCTGTTGAAGGGCCATTATTGGAACATGAGATTTAAGACATTAAATGGCTACTGAAGAGGTCCAACTGTCCACTGTTCACGAGGACATGCACCCACCATTTTTTGCCCCAGAACTAGTATTCTTCCTGGAGCCATTTGCACTGACAGTAGCTCAAAGCAAGCTGCTGTTTTCTGCGAGGCTAAGGAATTTCACTAGCTTATTCTGGTTCAGACAAGCCACCAGAGGTAGCAGCAGACAGAGTAATAGCAGGACCTCAACTTTTGTCCATACACAGTAAACTATTAGGTTAGCTCAGCTGATAGCATACAATTAAATATTAAGGATAGAGAGTCACTATATGCTTGAAACAGTTCAGCTGAGCTAGGAGCTGTGGTCAAAGAGAGAGATCCCAAATTTTTAGTTGCAGAGGCAGTCTCTCCAGTTCTTTGATCTGGTGTTTTATCCTGACTTTCAGGGAAATAAACAGCAAAATACTCCCTGGCTACTTATTCTTTTTATTCCATTTATACTTTTGATAAGATCTGATTGGAAGCCATAATACTTTTCTATTAAATAGCTTAGCATCTGTTGTTACACTTCCACACACAGAAGTATTCTCAATGACTTTGTAGCAGATAAAATGCTGATTTAATGGGTCATGCACACTCATATTCTGAAAGTAGCAGGTCCCAAAATAAAAAGACTTGAGATAGTCACAACACACTATTAGTGTTATTCTTAAATAATATGGTAAGGAAAGAAGTTTCTCTCAGACTATAGAGTTAAGCCACCATATTTCCAAGGCTCTAACATATTCTTTTTCTGTTCTGTAATTCTAGTGGTTGGACCTCAACTAAAGCAAACCTTTTAGTTATTTTTGCCAGAACACCATTTCTATTGCTTTAGCACCTGGTCTAAGGACATGTTTGTGAGATTGAGACATCTTATAGAATACAGTTTTAGAAGTCTGTATTAACAGATTGCCCCTCCTCCCACTTCCCCACCCCCACTGAAATCAAAAGCAATGAAGAAAAGTTGAACTTACAACAATTATACTGAAAGGAATAATTATTCCTGCTAACAACTTATAAGAAATGGTGTCCTCTTTGTATGGGTACCGGATGGATTCATCACTACAGAAAACTCCTCTCTGGAAGGGGGTACGTCGTGAACTGAGAATTGCAAAAGGCAAGCCAGCTGGCAAAAAGGAATACAAAATACATTACAAAAGCAAAACAAACTTTGGCGATGATTATACCCCAGCATTTCCAAAGAGAAGTGCATAAAGAGGAGCAGGCATGCAGAAAATTAGAAGGTTATGCACTTCCCTTGGCCAATGACTACTGCCTTGACTTTGCAGCTCCCAGGAAGGATTGCTGAATGAAGGATAGCAGGGCAGAATTCCTCTCACCTTCATGTTTGCGGCACATCCAGTATGGAAGCAGGCCAAAACTGTGACTGAGTAAACAGCTCAGTGACAACCAGCAAATTGCTCAATCTGCGGCTACTGTCACAATTATCGAATATTTCTTTATATTCCAGTGAGCAACAGCTGCCCCTGTATACCTTCTCTGGACAGCTTTACAAGCCAGAAGAGCATAAATTAAATTTCATGAAAGCAGAAGAGAGGTGCTTCTCAGGGAGTGCAAGTGCAGAGGGAGTTTTTGGGAATATGGAAAAAAGGAGATTACACATGCATGCGATCCCCTCACTTCCACACACACTGGACAGCTCCCTAGAAAAACGTCATCACTGCGCAAGCCCTACGACCTCAGGACCACTCTCTTCCAAAGAGGATGCCTTTGGCTCGATCTAATATCAGCAGGACACAACATTAAGACGTGCATGCTACTGCACATCAAGAAACCCATAACACGAACCAAAACATTTGAATGGCAAAGTGTTTTTTTACAGAAAGCTCAAAAAAAGATACAAATTACCACCAACTAACAGAATCACATTTCTGAGTCCTCTTCCTCCATCTCTGACACACATACAACATTTACACAATCTGTTTGTGTACAGAGGGGAATAGTCCCAGAAAGAAATAGTTGTATGGAAAAAAGCAGGTGACCACCAAGAATGTTCAACAAAACAATAATCTTTAACTTAGAGATGTACAGCCCAGTGGCATAATAGCCCTTGATTTTGTGCTCAGAATTCAGCAGTGCTGCACATAAAATGCATACCACTTCAGAGTTATACAACCAAAATTATTTAGGGGAAACATTCCTATCTACCAATAAGGGATCAGAAAGATAAAAACAGCCTCCACCCTTCCCTCACACCAGTGAAAGGTGTTGCTGTGTTCTCAGTTCTCTCAACAGGAATTCTGTGCCAAGGCATAGCCTACCTCTTCCTTTCCACATACACAGCTAGTCCCAAACAAGTGTGTACACTTATTACTTACAAAAGTAAAGATGCAAAGAACAGGAGAAAAATAAAAATAATAATAAAAAAAAAAAACAAACACAAAAAAATACCAACCAAGCAACAAGAGAACTGCTAGGGAAGAGACCTAGGATTCTTTTCAACTCTCTTCACCCTTTATTTTCACTCCCGAGGTCCTCCAAACTAAGCCTGACTCCTGGGACCATCACCAGTGATACTCACTGTGGCTTCACCAATGATTTGCTATCAATTTGGTTCTTCACACCATCAAGTGCTTAAACGAATACTTCATTTAAAAAACAGGCACAGAAGAACAAATAACAAACTAATGGTTCATAAGTGGAAATTCCCTTGAAGTGAACTCTGATGAATGATACAGCTTTATTCCACAGCCAAGCAGCTATGGGCTTACCATATGGGCCCACGAATTCCAGCTAAGCCTGTCGTAAAGAATCATGTACCTTCTGTACTGTTACCGTCATAAAACCGATAGTATACAATACCTCCCCTCAAAGTGGCAGAAAAAAGCCACTGTCATTGTCAAGAGGGGTTGTTTCCAGTTCTATGCCAGCAGGACTACAACTGACCTCGCTCTGGAAGCCATCCAAGTACACCAACAAAAGCAGAAGGATAGAAAGACAGGCTAAGAGCCAAGCCAGAGACTCATCAAAACACTGCACTATTCAGATATCAGCCAGCACAGAGCCCTTGAGCTGGACTCTGCAGTACAGTGAAAAAACATAGCCTTTCCCACCAGCAAAAAAAAAAAAATCCCTCTTTTAATAGGAAGAATAGCAGAGTTTTGAAAAATGCTGTAGCCCAGACTTCATTTTTGCCCTTCCCTTATATTGGTATTGTGACAAATGTCATGATATATCGTCGGTTGTTTAGTATTTAGCTGACTTGACTAAGGGAGGAGACAGAAACTTGTGCAGCCTTGATGAGGGAAGGTGACTTATCAACATAATGCCATGGTGTTTCCAACACCATTTATTCTGTAAGATAGGTACGGAATGACAACTTCATCCTTTGCCCTGCACACATACTGACATCAAGATTCAAGGCTGTGTATTTGAGAAAAGTGTATTCTTTAGATCTCCAAAACTGGAGAATTAGGCATACACAGATGAGAGTTTCTTAACTGTGCTTACTTCTTTAGAATAGCTAGTTTGGATTATCATTGCAAAATTAGTTCACCCTAAAAAAATGCTTTTCACAGCTTCAGCACACTGACACAAATACTTGTGATTACAATTGAGTAGCAACACTGACATCATATCACTAGCTCTGCATCACCCTTTTTAAAGACCTGCTCTATGAATAATGGTCTCGTGGTGGCTTACTCCTCATTTCCTCTTACCCACTCCTGAATGTTTCAGCTTCTCAAGATGAAAGACTCAAAATTTTCAGAGTGATGGGGTTATTCACATGGCAGAGGAGAGAAAGGGAAGCATTTTTTAATGTAATTGCCAGCTGCTAAATCAGAAATGGAAAGCAATGGTACATGGATCATGGGAGTGAAGTCCCTTGTGCAGTGATATGTGGTTTTCCATGCAAAGTGAAGCTGTTTCATGTCTGTGTGTATGCTCACTCTTCAGCAATATTGAGATTATAATGTAATTAGCCTGTAATTGCTCACATCATCTTCCTGTAACCAGATCACGCAAATAAAATACCAAACAATTCAAGGTTTGGTTTTGTTTTGCTTTGTAAGCATGTATGAACCAGCTAAAGTCAAGTTATTAAAGTGTCTTCTGTTTCATAATTTCTTTACACCTCCTTTACTCTGAGTCTTAAAGTATTAGGTATCTACCAGGTAACCATTAAGTTACCATTAAGCAACCATTAATTGGAAGACCTCTGCACTGAAATACACTACCACTAAAAAAAATTATAATATAGTGAATGTCATAAAGTGTTTCTTCCGTTTCCCCCAAGTGCAGAATAGATTTAAGAAGTAATTCTACCAATTATTTGTCTAACTGCTCTTCTAAGCACATTTCAGTGCTGAAAGCAGATATGCTCCATGAAAGCTTGAGAGAAAAGTTTAAATTTCTAAAAAACAGATTACAATAAAACTGATCAGATTAACTTTACACTGTTAAACTAAGCTGAAGTCACAGAACTACAGCATTGTAATTTACCTTTTCCTCAATCCAAGACAGTCATAAGCCTGAAAAGCCAATACAGGTTTTTGATATCTTTTTGGTTAAAATACTTTCCAATGTCAATACCTAATCCCTCAGAACATACCTAATCCCTCAGAACATGATCCATATAGCTGGTTTAATTTACTACTTTTAAACACCTGTGGATTGGCTTCACTATTATTAGCTGGTGAGAGGGCAGAGAAAAGTAAAAGCCAAACCAGAGGGGTAGTAATTGTTTCTGGCAAGTGAAACTATTCAGAGAAACTTCCCACAATACTTAGGATTTTGTTCTAAACGAATCAGCAAAATCTGGTTTTGTGGGATTTCAAGGTGTTTTAATTTCTAAAATCAAAATTATGTCAAATATATAGCTTAAATACTTACTGCAATGAAAGTCCCTCTCACTTTAAGACAATAAAGAGGCAAGAGAAATAGTCTGGCATTTTCATCAGTATAAGCAGGATAAACAAGCATATGAACTGGCCTAAGTGATAAAGAGGCAAAGCCTCTCACTATAGCAAGTACAATAGTAGGGTTTCCCTATAGCTGTGATAGACACGTTACTTTTTCACCCTGACAAATACCATGATTTCAGAAGACAAGAGTAAGTTTTCACATCACAATAACAATTTCCTAAGCATCAAAGCTCCTGGTACAGGAAGACTTGATACAGCTGAAGATATCAAATGACACTTGTCTTCATAATGCTACAACCATGACTAACGTCAATTTCTAATTTCACAGATATAACCGAGGAAGAAATTTTAATAGTAATACAAGGGGGCAGTGCACTTTGACAGAGGATTTATCCACAGTAGTTTCTCATGAAAAAGTAGCAAAGATTCAACACCAGTTCAATGTGAAAAGAAATCCCGCCCATGTGTCAGTCACATTGTCACAGGAAGTCAAAGCTTCTACAAATATCCATTTTGCTCTTAAACAAGCCCCAAATTCTAAGGGCAGAGTTTGGCACATCAAAACAGAGAATTAGTAAAAATTATTTGGGATCAGTTTTACCCAAAAGCAAAAGAAATTGAGGAGTTTAAGTACTCCTTTTACATAGTAAGTGGAGCAAAGAAGCAGTAAAGGCATTCTACTGAATACTTCCCATATGACACCACCAAAAAGCATCCCTGATGTATACTTCATCTTCTAAGTCAGTTGTAACACAGTGAAGAAATTGCCTAAAGGGAAAATGGTAACATGTATGTGAAGAGAAATTATAAGGTGGGGAAGAGGTTACTTGTAGGGTAATCTCAAGGATAAAGCCAACAAGCCAGTGTTATGCAGTGCATATGCATCCTTAATGAATAACTAGAAGATGTACTGCTGACGGAGCTTGCAATTCTTTGATACAGTAGAGGATCAAGGCCAGCCAGTTCTGCCAGCAAAACAACTCAAAGACTGAAGCAAGAGAACAGATGGGGATTTGTGCAGTAATAAGTTCAGTCATGCACTTTGAAGGTTAAACAACTCTGTTGAGTTGGGAGTTTGTCAGTTCAAAATAGCAGGGGGAAAATAACATCTGCTTCCTGTGGCTGTTGTAAATCAATGTAAGAGTGTGATCACTAGACAAGTCTTTCCAAAGGCATTAATACTTTTAACTAGCTGACAAAAATTTCTTCTGAAAAAATACTTAATCAGAATTGGCAAATA